TCGTGGGATGAAGCTGCCATGAATAGTGTGCACATGAAGGAGCATGGCTGTGTCAAAGAGAATTTTATTTGCCAGCCAAGCTGAGGGCTAGATGACCATCAGGCCTTCTTTTGAAACTCCTCTTCCATAATCTGAACTATTTCCCTTAGTTGAAGGTGGAGGATGTTTTCACATTTTCTGCAGCTATAAATTTTAGTAAAGTTCTTTCCAGAAAATGAGTCATTAAAAAAATTCTCAAATTTATTGTTTTCTTCCAGGACCAGGAAATTACACGCACATTCCTTCTCCCATTAACTCAGGCATAGCTGTTTGACTACTTCTGGCTAATGAAACGTGATTTGCAAGTAACACACAGAGCTAGGCCATAGCATTTCCCTGCCAACGGCAGACACTCGAGTCCTCTCTCTATGCTTAAGTGAATCTTGCCTCCTGCTGCGATTTGGCACCTCCATCAGCCTGCCAGCCCATCACAGATACACAGCAGAAACAAAAAAGAAATCCAGTAGGATTTAGGATGTTTTGCAGGCATAACATAGCTTACTTATCCTGACTGGTATCGTTTAATAGTATAAATATCTATAAATCATTTAGTAGAATTGACTCAAGAGGCAAGCGTACATTGATGAGAAATAAATACTATTGAAGGAAAAGTCAAACTTGAGAAATCACAACTCTAACATTTATACTAATAAAATTAGAGCACTGGAGACACAATATAGGGGTTAAAACATATGCCTTGCGTGCAGCCAACCTGGGTTTGAATCTCAGGCACCGCACATGCACCACCAGGGGTCACTCCTGAGCACAGAGCCAGGAACAGCCGCTGAGCCTATAGGGTGTGGCTCCACCAGAAAAATCAGAAACCAAAAAAATAATAGTAATTTTAAAAACTAGTAATGTATAACTTATATATTTTATGCTGATTCTAATAGCTCAAGCTTATGCTATGAGGCTGACAGACTGCCACAAATACTGTTTTCTTTTTACGTGTAGCTATTTTGCACTCAGCCACAATCTTTATTTGTTGTTCCTGTAAAAATAATATACTACATTAAAATGCAAAGAATGAAAGCAGGGCTTTGTGTCCTTTATGCAAAGCAGTTCCTTGAAAAAACCCTGAAACGAATTGTAAATCAGGTCACAAATTTATTCCAAGGACGAATACCTTGCTCTTCGGGAATCCAGGCAGCTTCTGCTGCCATCTTGTCTCTTCCGTCTCTTCTGCTGCCACCAGCTGGCTTTCACTTCTGATAAATTCCAGAAACCAGCAGGATTCAGCTCAGTGTTTTGTTTCGACTGCTGGGTCCCTGATGAGAACACCAAGTCAGTTGAACAAGTAAAATTTTAGGTTAGGCACTGAAAAACACAACCAACTCATTTCCTAGGTATTTTTGGTAATCAGATAGCCACACAGTAGCTGGTGCTTGTCCCAGCAAGTGGTCCAGTCACAGCTTCAGGCTAACAAAAGAGAAGGCATTTCAATTATTCAGTTAATATTCTCCCAGGAATGAACAATGAGTTTAAAAAAAAAACTACGGTAATTATGTAAGTGCAAAGGTCAATTCAAATACATTCATGGACCCCCAGTCTTGGGGAAGTTTTTAGCTTCAATAAATTCAGAGTACAAACTCGAAAAGAAACATCACTTGCAAATAAATTCTTTAAATTTTGTTGTTCAGACATGGCCTTGAGGATATCTGAACTGTAAGTGGACTTCAACTTTTTGTTTCAGTTAGTATGTCATCTTCACTTAGAGGAACTAAAAAAATGAGATGTAAAATTATTCAGAATTAATGAAGTATAGTAAGAGAAAACCTTCAAATAAGGCTCTTTGCACATTTTCAGCACCTACACTTCTGAAATTTCAAGATCAAAAACTGTACTAGGACTCTTGGGATACCTCTATAAGGAAAATTTGTAGAGCCAAAAGGTGTGTGGATATAGTTATAAAGCATAGTGGCAGCATGTTAGAATGACACATGCACACATATATGCAAAGAGATTTAAAATGAGTTGATTAAAGTGAGATAGGGCTGGAGCGGTAGCACAGCGGGTAGGGCGTCTGCCTTGCACGCAGCCAACATGGCCGACCCGAGTTCGATTCCTCCGCCCCTCTCGGAGAGCCCGGCAAGCTACCGAGAGTATTCGATATGCCAGACACAGTAACAGCAAAGTCTCCAATGGAGACGTTACTGGGCCCGCTCGAGCAAATCGATGATCAACGGGAGGGCCTCTACTAAAGTGAGATACCGATCTGATGCTAAATTACCAAAACTTTAGGGAAAATACAGAAGACCTAGCAAATTACTGGCAAATCTGTAGTGTAGGTCTTTAGCATTGTATTTTTTTTAACTTTAGAGTAGATTGAGGAGGCTTTTTTTTTTTTTATTTGGGATGCTTGTTCTTTGGGGGAGAGAGCACCCAGCAATTCTTAGGACTTACTATTAGCTCCACAGTCAGAAATCTGCTGGCAGTGCTCAGGGAACCCTATGTAGTGCCCAGGGTTGGAAAGCAAGTCGGCTGTGTGTAAATAAAATGCCCTGCCCTCTGTTGTATCCCTCCAGCCCAGGGAAACTTGTTCTTAAGATTATGTTCTTATTGTTACTAGTATTGTTAATTATTATTTCCTCAGAAATTTAAAACAAGTCACGTTCCTCCCGTTGTTCATCGATTTGCTCGAGCGGGCCCAGTAACATCTCCTTCGTGAGACTTGTCGTTACTGTGTTTGGCATATCGAATACGTCACGGGGAGCTTGCCAGGCTCTGTCGAGCGGGCGAGATACTCTCGGTAGCTTGCCGGGCTCTCCGAGAGGGGCGGAGGAATCGAACTCGGGTCGGCCATGTTGGCTGCGTGCAAGGCAAACGCCCTACCACTGTGCTATCGCTCCAGCCCAAATAAAACAAGTAACTTATAAAAGTTAAAATTTTCTCTTATGAACACTAAGAAAAATTTAGAATATACTCCATAAAATTTGCCTTTGAACCCGGATTTGATCCAGCACCCATTTGGTTCCCAAATGTCCCCCACCCTCAAGAGTGATCTCTGAGCCTAGAGCCAGGAATAAGCCCAGAGTACATCTGGGTGTGGATCCCCAAAACAAAACTTTTCAAGGGAAGGAGTGGCCCAAATTTTAAAAAAAAAAACCACTTCAGTTACAGGGCTGGAGTGATAGCACAGCCAGTGGGGTGTTTGCCTTGCACGTGGCCCACCCAGGTCGATTCCTAGCACCCCATACAATCACCCCAAGCACTGCCAGGAGTAGTTCCTGAGTGCAGAGCCAGGAATAACCTCTGTGCATCGCTGGGTGTGACCCCCCCCCAAAAAAAACACTTCAGTTATATTAAAGATAAACTCATGCAGCGATCTCAGTTTTGGCAGCACCGTGGAAACACCAAAGGAGCTTTAAAAATACTAACTCTTGAGTCCTGCTCTTTAAAATCTAATTTAATGTGTACAGGCTTTGGAATAATCATAAGTAATTTTCATTTGTTTGTGGGAGAGGCCACACCTGGAGATGTTCCAGGGTTCCTCCTGGCTCTGCACTCAGGAGTCATTCCCGACAGTTCTTAGGAGACAATATGGGACCCCAGGGATCAAACCCTGGTGGGCCAGATGCAAAGCAAGCGCCCTAGCCGCTGTACTATCACTCCTGCCCCAGCATTAGGAATTTTTAAGCTTTCTGGCAACCCGATTAAACAGCCAAGAGTGAGAACCAAGCAAAGCAAGCGCCCTAGCCGCTGTACTATCACTCCTGCCCCAGCATTAGGAATTTTTAAGCTTTCTGGCAACCCGATTAAACAGCCAAGAGTGAGAACCACTATTCTGAGTAAATATAGAGTAAAGTGCACGTCAAAAATATAGAATAACGTTGGTGCCGGAGAGACAGCACAGTGAAGAGGGCGTTTGCCTTGCACACGGCCAAACTGGATTCGATTCCCGGCATCCCATATGGTCCACTGAGAACCACCAGAAGTAATTCCCGAGTGCATGAGCCAAGAGTAATCCCTGAACATTGCCAGGTGTGACGCAAAAAGCCAAGAAAAAATTATATATATATATATATATATACACATATCACTGTAGCACTGCCCTCCCGTTGTTCATCATTTGCTCCAGTGGACGGACTCAGTAACGGCTCCATTGTGAGACTTGTCCTTACTGTGTTTGGCTATCGAATACATCACGGGTAGCTTGCCAGGCTTTGCCATGCTGGCGAGATACTCTCGGTAGTTTGTGGGGCTCTCCAAGAGGGGCGAGGAATCGAACCCGGCTCGGCCAGGCCGGCTGCGGGCAAGGCAAACGCCCTACCGCTGTGCTATCACTCCATCCCATATATATCTATAATGTATATTATATCTATAATAACGTGCGCATCAAACAAAATCATGGGCAGAGCTCCCTTTTGGTTGTTGATCGCCAATGTAGTCCCTTTCTTCTTTTCTATTTTTGTTTGTTGCTTTTTGGGTCACGCCCAGCCATGCTCAGGGGGTTCCTCCTAGCTCTGCACTCAGGAACTACTCCTGGCGGTGCTCGGGGGACCATATGGGATGCCGGGGATCGAACCCAGGGCGGCCACGTGCAAGGCAAACGCCCTCCCCATTGTACTATGGCTCCGGCCCCTTTGTCATATTTTGTAACAAAGGTTTATGCAGAGAACTTCATCTCAGAAGCGCAGAGGTTAACTCGAACCTGGCTCCTTCGATGGGGCCCGAGAGGCGGCGACGCAGAGCGCGGACACGCCCAGAACTCCTCCCGGGCCGCCGGAGAGCCTGGGCTGCCGCTAGGGGGCCGGCGGCGCGCCCGGCGCGTCCGTCCACCGAAGCGTCCGGCCCACTTCCGGTGTGCGCCGGCCCTCCGCGTGTCTCCGCCGGAAGCGGCCGAGGGGGAAACGGCGCGCGCGGGAGAAAGGCCCCGCGCGCTCATTGGTTCCGGCGCGGCGCGGAGGTCGGGGCCGTAGGCGCCGCGCGGCCGGCTGATCGCGGCACGCGGGGGAGGAGCACCGCCCGGGCTCGCCTGCCCGCCGCCGCCGCCGCCGCCGCCGCGATGATTCCGGTGTCGCTGCTGGTCGTGGTGGTGGGCGGCTGGACTGTCGTCTACCTGGCCGACTTGGTTCTGAAGGTGAGGGCGTCGGGCCTGCGTCCCAAACCCGTGGCGCCGGGTTGTGGGTGGTGGTGGTGGGGGGGAGGGTCCGGAGCGCGAGGCCTAACGCCTTTCCCCTCCGCCGGGCGACGCCGGCGGCTCGGGGTGCCCACGTGGGTCGCTCGGCGAGGTTAGGCGGCCCCGGGAGGGGTGTGTCGGGCGGTGCAGCTGCCGAGATGTGGGGTGCTGCCGCCCCCCTCCCCCACCCCTCCTCCACGGCCTCCAGGATGCGCCCGCGGTGGACTCGGGAAGGCCGGGGCAAATGCTCCAGGGAGGAGAGGGTCAGGGCCGTTTGGGAAGGGCACGGTCGGCCGTTCGGGGCTCGACGGCCGCCGTCCAGGGGCAGCAGGTGAATGGGAATGGGGCGGTGCGGGAAGGCACTGGACACATTGTGATACAGCGTGTCCGGGGCGAAGCCGCAGCCGACAGTTTCCTAACGGCTTCCAGATGCCGCCAATGTTGCAAATCTCCGAGTGGCGTTGGGGGGGGGGGGGCGAGAGGCCCGAGGCGGTTTCCGACTTGCCCTTCTCGGTCGTTTCCGCACACCCACACTCGGGGGGTGCTTCGGTTATTCGGGTGAGTAGCCCCGAGGCGGGAACACGTGACCACGTGTTTCTAGAAGCGGCCTTTTATTTTTTCCCCCTTTTCCCTCCGGGCCACCGCCAGCCCCCGCACCCCGGCTTCGGGCTTCCTTCTGCCCCCAGGGAGCCCGGTAGAGGAGAGGCTGAGGCTCGAACCCGCGGCAGCCGCGTGCGAGGCGAACAAGTGGCTTACCAGCTGGAGTGTCTCTCTGACCCCCAAGAAATGGCCGTTTTGGAAAGTCGCCGTTAGGCAGGGGTAGGGGAACGTCTACATGTAATGTAAAATCATATAGAGTCTCAAACAGTCAAAATTCCGGGAACGAATAGCAAAAGCTTCATGTTCTGGAGATCATTTTACTTGAAACAAAAAATATTTTTTTATGTAGGAGTACTGCTATTTATTCAAAAAATAATATTTGAACTGGAGCAGTAGTTAAAGTGCTCGCCTTGCTCTCTGCCGGCTCATTCTCCCCCCACTCCCCCCGGAAGAGTGTGGCCAAAAGTAGCAACAAAAGTACTTGGTTTTAGGTTCACAGAACAGTTTAACTGCAACTGGCTTTTTTTTTTCTTTTTAACTGCAACTTGCTTTTTTTTTTTTTCTTTTTGGGTCACACCCAGCTATGCACAGGGTTTACTCCCAGTTTATACACTCAGGGATCACTCCTGCCGGGGCTCAGGGGAAACATATGGGATATGGGAATCAAACCGGGTCGGCTGCATGCAAGGCAAACGCCCTATCCGCTGTGCTATCACTCTAGCCCAGAAACTTGCATTTAAACTTTAAAAATGAAGAGCTTATGTCGTGAAGTCTTAGAAGCCCGGTCTGAGCCCTGCCACTCACCATGATTGATTACTATTTATCCACATAAAACCTTACTACTCAGGGCTGCAGTGATAGCACAGCGGGTAGGGCATTTGCCTTGCACGTGTCCGACCCAGGTTCGATTCCCAGCATCCCATATGGTTCCCTGAGCACCGCCAGGACTAATTCCTGACTGCAAAGCTAGGAGTAACCCCCGAGCATTGCCGGGTGTGACCCAAAAAGAAAAAAAAACAACCTTACTACTCAACCTGAAGTTCTGTCTGGGAGCTTCTCAGAAATGCAGACTTAACACTACCCTACAGAATGAGAATTTGCATCTTTAAATCTCCAACTTTTTCCTCTGCATGTTTGTATTTGAGATGCTGCATTGTGAGGTACTTAGCATAGTGGTTAGCATGTCGTAAAGCAATATAGACCCTGGTTTGGTTTGGTTTGGTTTGGGGCGCAGGCACACCCATCTGTGCTCAGAGGTCACTCATGGTGGTGCTCAGGGGACTATATGTGGTGCTGGTGATCAAACCCTAGTTAGCAACATGCCAAGCAAGGGCCTTACGCTCTTTACTAACTCTCTGGCCCAGGCCTTTGTTTCTTTAAAAGTGGATGAGAAGGACAGAGAAGGAAAGAAGTCAAGGGTGGGGGTAGGGAAGAAGAGAAAGGGAAATAATGGGGCAATGGGTCACGAGTCTTGGGTGTACTGGGGATGTGGGAGAGTGGTATAGCTCTATATCCAAAGCGTGGACTCAACAGCATTGAAAATTTGGCATCTAAACTACTCAACTTTGAAATGCGTCTGTCAGGGCTGGAGCAATAGTACAGCGGGTAGGGCGTTTGCCTTGCATGCAACTGACCCAGGTTCAATTCCCAGCATCCCAGATGATCCCCCAAGCACTGCCAGGAGTAACCCCTGTGCATCACCGGGTGTGACCCAAAAAGTTAAAAAAAAAAAAGTGCCTGTCAAGGTGGCAGGCTGGGGTGTGGGAGGGCGCCTGGGAACCCTGGTGGAGGAAAGTTGACACTGGTAGTGGGCTTAGTGTTGGAATATTGTATGCCTAAGACTCATCTATTAGTAACTTTGTAAATCACGGCTCTTTAATTAAAATGTAAAAAAGAAAAAGAAAAACCATATAATTTCTTCATGTTGCAAAGTTGACTAAATTCCAAAATAAAAAATTTCTTCCTGGGGCTTGAGAGATAGCACAGCGGGTAGGGTGCTTGCTTTGTACTTTGTACACGGGTTCCATCCTCTGGCCGCCACCAGGAGTGATTCTTTTTTTTATGTTCTTTATCTTTATTTTTTAAAAATTTTTATTAGTGAGACACCATAAGGTACAGTTGTAGACTTATAATTTTTTTGTGCTTGGGTTTCAATTATACAATGATCAAATACCCATCCCTCCACCAGTGCCCATTTCCCACCACCACAGATCCCAGTATCCCTCCCACCCCCCATCCCACCCTGCCTCTGTGACAGGGCATTCCCTTTTGTTCTCTCTCTCCTATTGGGTGTTGTGGTTTGCAAAAGAGGCAATAAGTGGCGATCATGTTTAGTCTATAGTCTACTTTCAGCATGCTTCTCCCATCCTGGGAAGATCCTCCCAACACCCTTTATTTGGTGCTCTCTTCTCAGGAGTGATTCTTGAGTGCAGAGCCAGGAGTAACCCGAGCATTGCCGGGTGTAGCTCAAAAACAAAATTTTAAAAAATTCTTCCAATATCTGGACTAGTGTGTGAGGTGATCAGGATTTCACCTAGTTTTAGTAGGATCCGCTTCATTGAGTAAAAGCCTATTTCTCATTCTGACTATCCAGAAAATAGAAGAATCTTAAGTTTTAGGAGCCAGCACCTTCAGTTTTTCTGCTGCCAACTTGGTCTTGCACCTTTAGTTCTTGGATCTCCCCAGTGGACATTTGAAGAGGAGTGTCACTATCCATTTCCAGTCCACAACCTTCGCACAGAAAATGTAATTGGCCAAGTCTAGAAAGCGCTTGGAAAGTCTCGTCAGAAAGCACTGATTCAGACTGTCACTCCTGTGGGATTGGTTGGGAGTCTAAAACCAAGCTCTCATTAACGTCACTAATTGCATATTGTCAGTGAGCACTTGAAAAGTGGCTCATCCAAATTGAGATGTGCTATATGATGGAGTTGAAATCAGATTTCAGAGAGTTAGGACAAAAAGACAGAAAAGAAATAGCATGTTAAGTAGTTCACGGTCACAGTCCTCCCGTTGTTCGTCGATTTGTTTGAGCGGGCCCAGTAACATTGTGAGACATGTTACTGTGTTTGGCATATCGAATATGTCACGGGCAGCTTGCCAGTCTTTGCTGTGTGGGCGAGATACTCTCGGTAGCATGCCGGGCTCTCCAAGAGAGGCGGAGGAATCGAACTCGGGTCAGCCATGTTCGCTGCATGCAAGGCTGACACCCTACCCGCTGTGCTATCGCTCCAGCCCAAAGTAGTTCAGTAAATGTTTATTAATTACATGTTAAAATTAGGTGTTTTGAGTTTTATTATATATTGCTTTGGGGGCCACATCTGGCTGTGCTCAGGGCTTACTCTTGGCTCTGCATTCAGGAATCACTCCTGGCGGGGCTTGGGAGACAAATGGGATGTCAAACCCAAGTCAGCTGTGTGCAAGACAAGTGTCTTAGCCACTCTACTCTCACTCCAGCCCCTAAAATTTGAGTTGAATGTATTTAAATTAAAGTTGCAGAACTAGTGCCAGTTGTCACCTCTAAGCACAGATCTGGTGTGTTCCACCCCTACTTCCAAATGTATATGTGTGCATATATATGTATATATGTGTATATATGTATATATGAACCAGGGGTGTGATTTGGGGGGGCACGCTTTGCATTTATGAGGTCTTAGGTTTAGTCCTAGCATTAGGAAATGTGTATATATATATTTTTTAAAAACTAAATTTAACTACAGAAAATTTTAAATAGCATATTAAAAAACAAACACACTGTCCTCCCGTTGTTCATCGATTTGCTCCAGCGGGCCCAGTAACGTCTCCATTTTGAGACTTGTTGTTACTGTGTTTGGCATATTGAATATGTCACGGGTAGCTTGCCAGGCTTTGCCGTGCAGGCGAGATATTCTCGGTAGCTTGCCGGGGTCTCCGAGAGGGGCGGAGGAATCGAACCCGGCTCAGCCGGCCAGCTGCGTGCAAGGCAAGCGCCCTACCGCTGTGCTATCGCTCCAGCCCATAACATATTATGTCTTGTATTTATATTGCGATTGAATGATGCCATTCTCGGTAGAAGGTCACAAAGTTTTTCTGTAAAGGGTCAGATAGATAGCAAGTATTTTAGGCTTTGTGGGCCATGTAAAGTCTGTCAAATACTGTTTTTGTTTTGCATCAGTTTATTAAAAACATTGGGGCCACGGAGCGATAATACCACGGTAGGGCACTTGCCTTGCACATAGCCGAACTCGGCATCCCATATGGTCCCCTAGCACTCCCAGGAGTTACCCCTGAGCCTGGCCAGGTGTGGCCCAAAAATACAAAACGGGCTGGAGTGATAGCGGGTAGGGTGTTTGCCTTGCACGTGGCCAGCCCAGGTCCAATTCCCGGCATCCTATATGATCCCCCGAGCACCACCAGGAGTAATTCCTGAGTGCAGAGCCAGGAGTAACCCCTGTGCATCGCTGGGTGTGACCCAGAAAGCAAAAAAACAAAACCAAACCATAAAGGCCATCCCATCTTTCATTTACAGGCTATACAAGAGGTTAAAGACTGGGTTTGCAAACACATACCTGTTAAGGGCTGGGTTTGGTCCACAGACCAGTTTTTCAGGCCCTCGCCTCAACAGAACAGCTGGTTTGAGAGCTTTATATCAATATCCTGAAGTATAAACACACAGCTGTAAAATTAGAAACGTTTGAGGGGCCAGGGTCCTGTTTTCATATTTTCGTAAACATTATAAATTGTTCTTCAAACTTGAGTCATATGGGACTTTTACTTTCTCTCCTAGTCATCTGTGTATTTTAAGAATTCTTACGAAGACTGGCTGGAAAACAACGGATTGAGCATCTCCCCTTTTCACATAAGATGGCAGACTGCTGTTTTCAATCGTGCCTTTTACAGCTGGGGCCGGAGGAAGGCACGCGTGCTTTACCAATGGTACACTTTTATTTTCTCTTTTTTGGTTCTAGTTAGTCAAATGTGGTCATGAGGAATGCTTATTAGATGAATTGTTTCCATGCTTTTCCAATGTACTGACTTTTAAAAGAATGACAGAATAAAAATTTTCTGACTTTATGTAAGCATATGGGATTGCAATTCACATACTTTTGGAATTAATAAAGGCCGTGTGTCTTGATCTGGAGGGGGGGGATGGAATCAAAATTTATTGAGCTGTATACTTCAGATGTGGAACTTTTTTTTCAGTTGGCTTTTTGGTCCACACCCGGCAATGTGCACGGGTTACTACTGGCTCTGCACTCAGGAATTACTCCTGGAAGTGCTTGGGACCATATGGGATGCCAAGGATCGAACTTGGGTCGGCTGCGTGCAAGGCAAACACTCTACCCGCAGCATTATCACTCTGGAACTACAGGTGGAACATTTTCAGTGAGGAAAAGTAGAGTATTCTGTCCCCTTCCTCAAATGTAGGGTTGAAGGTCCTGGGAGTACCAGGTGACCAAAAGAGCACAAGCCCGTCCCCATATTTCCTTTGTAATGCCACCTCGCTCCCGCCATGAAAAGGACGTTGCAACTATTTAAGCAGTAAAGGATAGACACATGCCCCTTGGGAAAAGCCCAGCCACATTGCAGGAGAAGCAGGGTCATGGGCCCCTGACCGTGCAGGCATATCCCTTTCACTGAAAAAACAAAGGCTTTGGGTCTGGAGAGAGAGGACAATGGTTCGGGTGCTTGCATTGTATGCATGCAACCTGGGTTTTGGGTCTGGAGAGAGAGGACAATGGCTCGGGTGCTTGCAATGTATGCAGGCAACCTGGGTTTGATCCTTAGCACCCTGTATGGTTCCCTGAACCCTCCCAGAAGTGATCTCTGAGCTTAGAGCCAGGAATAAACCCTGAGCTCTGCTGGGTGTACCTTACACCGCCCCCCCCAGAAAAAAAGGTTTACAGAGATCTCTCAAACACCTTCAGGGATCTCTGTCTAAATTTCTTTTTATTAAAAATTCAGCTCCAAATGGAATACAGATAAGTGTAAGCAATAAGATCATCAAAAGTGACATATTGTGACAGCAAAATAAAGCAAATAAAATGGCAATAAGAACAGCAGTCAGTGAAATAGAAAGTATAAAGAAGACCAAACCAGCAAATCCGTGAGCCAGGTAGTGCCGCAGTTAGGGCACTAGCCTTGCACTGTGCTGGCCCAGGCGGCGTCCTGGCACCTGGTATGGTTTCCGGTGCCAGGAATAAGCCCTGAGCACTGCTGCGTGTGGCCTCCCCTCAAAGGCAGCATTTCTATAAGGTAACTTGTTGAAACAATGAGTAAAATTGAAAATACATTCCATGACTTATCAAGACTAAAAAGAAAATACAGGTAAATGAAAATCAGAATTAAAAAAGAACATTCATACAGAGTCTACGTTGTTATAAAATGAGAACTATGAACAATTCTGCCCCCATAATTTGACAATTTAGAATGAATAGACAAGTTGCTGAAAAAAGGCAATTTTTTTTGTTTTTTTTTTTTTAATTTGTTTTGTTTTGAGCCCACCCCGTGGTTCTCAGGGTCACTCTGGCAACGGGGGGCCCTGCAGTGCCCGAGCTGGAACCCAGACAACCTGCTCCAAGGCATGTGCTCCCCTTTGAGCTAGCTCCCCAGCCCAAAAAGCACAGCTTAGCCCAAACTTAAATCTTAACAGATTAGTCCCAACAGCGAACTAATACCTTCTAATTATTAACTACTAAATTTTGCTTGCTAATGTTTATTTTTTGCCTTTTGGGTTGCACCTGGCGATGCTCAGGGGTTACTCCTGACTCTGCACTCAGGAATTATTCCTGATGATGCTTGGGGAACCATATGGGATGTTGGGGATCGAACCCAGGTCGGCCATGTCCAAGGTACACACTGTACTATCACTCCAGCTCCCACCATGTTGATGTTTAAACTCACCACAAAATATAGCTAAATTACTAACAATGTAATCAGTAGATTAAAAAGGAATTAGATGTCCATACTGTCAGAGTTTTTATAGCTATGAAAATAAAACCAGTATAATATTATGTAAATAAGAAAAAGATGCTGGGGGGGCACTCTTTTGCTTCCCTTTGTTGTTGCTTTGATGTCTGGGAGTCACACACTTCATCACATTTCTTGAATGCTTGGTTGTGATGCTCGCCAAGGGCCACACCCTTAGTTGTAGTACTCACACACTATTGTGGTGTAATAGAGGTTGTGCCTACGGTGCCAGGATCACACTTTGTGTGGGGGTGATTTTGGGAACAGAACTTAAGACCTCACACTTGCAAGGCAGGCTCACTGCCACTAACCCACATCTCCAGGCCCCTGAAACAAACTTTTTCCTGGGGACATTATCCAGCCGCTTCAGTTTGATTAAGGAGACTAGTGCTTGTGCTTCAGTCAAATAGCTAAAGCTTAGTTGGGGAAAAAAAGACAGACTTGTTGAAACTTTTATGCAATTTTTGTTTGGGGGCCACACCCGGCCATGCTGAGGACTCACTCCTAACTCTGCTCAGGGATCACTCCTGGCAGGGCTTAAAGGACAGTATGTGGTAGCGGGGATTGAATCTGGGTTGTCTGCGTGCAAGATAAGTGCACTAGCCACTGTACCAGCCTCTCCATTTTTGAAGCTGTTAAATGCGACTGGTTGAGATCAGGCTAGTTAGAATGCTTGTTTCACATGTGTGAGGCCCTGAACAGCACCCCCAGCTGCATCCCCCGCCCCCACCCCCGATAAAAGAATATAGGGGTCAGAGTGAATGTAGCTAACCCAGTTTGATCTCTGGTACCTCATATCATCCCTTAAGTACCAGAGGTGATCCCTGAGTGCAGAGCCAGGAGTAATGAGCACAGCTGGATGTGATCCAAAAACCGAAATTGAGGGAAAAATATAACTGGCTGAATTTACTAGTGCATGAACTGTGAAGAATTATGTTCTTATCTTTGTTTTTCCACTTGACAGGTTCAATTTTGGAATGGTGTTTGGCGTGATTGCCATGTTCAGCTCTTTTTTCCTCCTGGGAAAAACGCTGATGCAGACTTTAGCACAAATGATGAATGACTCTCCCTCTTCATCCTCTTCCTCCTCCTTTTCCTCTTCCTCTTCCTCTTCTTCCTCCTCTTCCTCCTCTTCCTCTTTCTCATCTTCTTCATTTAACAATGAGCAAGTGCTACAAGTTGTGGTAAGTGCCTTTTTGTTTGTATTAACTTTCTTAAAACATTGACGCTAGCTCACCTAGATAGCATAATTTCTATCTTTAATGTGACTCTGAGTGAAGTGAAAGGTCTCACAACTTCAGAGATTACCTGCTTAATCGGTGCCGTTAGTCAAGCTATAGCAAGGAATTGCAGTCTGCTGTAGAGGAAGTGACAATAGCACCAGTATACCCTCAAGGCTGGCAGGAGGGCCAGAGAGACAGCTCACCGTGCTGCAGCTGGGGCCGTGTCCACAGGACGCTCCAGGTTTACTCACTGGCACTGCATGGTTCCCTGCTCCCCTGCCCCTGCCCCAGGTGTGACCCCCCAAACACTGAGGGGAATAGCGCCTGAGCATGCCGGCTGTGGCCCCCAAACAAACAAAAAGGACCACAAGTTACATGGGTATTTGTTTAATTCATGTTATCTTCTAGAGGTGTTAAGACAATCGTTACCATCAAGAAATAGTCATAGTGAATTAAGATCTCTATAACACATAAATTGCATTCTAATTCTGTGCAGTGTTACCCTTCCTCTTCAGGGTTTCCAGGATCTAACCAATGCTGTCCTTTAAAGGCATAAAACCTTTCTTAAATGTATTCTTTAATTCAATACTTTATTACAAAATAGGCTTGTTAGATGATTTTGTCCAGTTACGGGTTCTGGGTTTGTTTAAAGTGATGGGCTGACTAAGTTTGATATCCATGGTGTATTTAAGGTATATTTAATGCATTTTCTGTGTGTTGATATTGTCACCTTAACAATAGACTTATAAGGATGTAGCCCCATGTTAAATTAAGAAAACAGGTATGTATAACCATATTGTTTAGTTTCTCTAGAGAACTCTAATATCCCAGATACCTAGAACAGTGCCTGGCCTAGAATAAACAGTAGATATTTGTTAAATAAATTAACCAATAGCATAGTAGCAAAAAATGTTATCTAAACAACAAATCTATTTATTAACCATCACGTTCCCAGGACCTGACACTCAGAACAATAAATGTATAAGAAACAGTGAACAGAGAATGTTGACATGAGGGTATGAGACCCTTTTGAATGATCATGGGATCACTTTTTTAGCAGGTGAGGGAAGAAAGGTGCTCAGGCTACTCATGTACTATTCCTGGCAAGCAGTACACACCTAAAGATTTGGTGCAGTGTTTGCTATGCATGTGCTTTATCACTTGCGCCGAATCTCCCTGACTGCCTTGTGATTTTTTTTGGGTGGACCTGCCCAGTGGGGATCAGGACCCAGAGGCCACTTCCAGTAATACTTAGCCTGGCTGTGCTAGCCTGATGGTGCTGAGAAGCCATGCAGTGCCAGGAATTGAACTCGGACCTCACGCATGCAGGCTGTGTGCTCCAACTCTTTGGGTTGGGGGGGGAGGGCGTTGGGGGATCAAGTTCAGGGTCTTGTAGATGTATGTAGGTGCTCTATTGCTGAACTACATCCCTGGGCCCCATTGTGAATCCTTACATGAAGGATAATGGACTGATAACTAGTACTATGACTATATGCTATTTAGAGTAATTCTAACTATAAGGCATATTTATAGACCTATGCCTTATGAATTCATGTCTCCAGAAGTTAGGAGGAGATTTATCATTGATTTTAGGGAGGGTGGGGGGTTGGCTTTGGGATCACTTCCAGTGTGGTGCTGGGGGTCGAACCCAGGCACCCCACATGCAGAGCCTATTTGAGCCACCTCCCAAACCACTAACTAGCTTTTTGTTTTAGCCTTTTTATATTTATAATTACCACTTGCAGGAGTCTTGGATGATACTGTGTCATAGTAAGAGACTTTTCTTTTAGCTTATCTCTTTGTGGCCCCCACTAGGCTGAGTACTGTGAGAAGATTGAGAAATTATTTGTAGAAGTGCCGGAGTGACACTACAGTGGTTAGGGCACTTGCCTTCTACACTACTGGCCTTAGTTCGATACCTGCCATCCCATATGGTTCCCTGAACAAACCTGCTATGAGTGATTCCTGGATGCAGAGCCAGTAGTAAGCTCTAAGCAATGCCAGGCGTGGCCCAAAAACAAAGCAACAACAACAAAAACATAAGTTCTTGAATTATGAAGAAGACTGAATGATGTGGGTGTTTAAAGGCAATTTGGAATGAAGTTCTAAGAGGGGTGATTAGCTGAGTGTGAGGCTGAAAGATGAAAGCATTTTGGATGACTCTAAAATTACATGCATGATTGGTTATTCTTTGCCAAGAAAGAGGAGAGTTGGGAAAGAAGCAGGTTTCAAGGAGATACAGTCACTGGCTTCTCTGCTTGCTAAGATCAGAATTGCAAATATTGTGTAGCACTATAGCACTGTTCTCCCGTTGTTCATTGATTTGCTCTAGCAGGCCCAGTAATGTCTCCATTATGAGACCTGTTGTTACTGTTTTTGGCATATCCAATACGTCACAGGGAGCTTGCCAGGCTTTCCCGTGCGGGCGAGATACTCTAGGTAGCTTGCCGGGCTCTCTGAGAGGGGCAAAAGAATTGAACCTCGGTCGGCCGCATGCAAGGCAAATGCCCTACTCACCGTGCTATCGCTCCAGCCCAAATATTGTTTAGAGAAGTCATGGTCACGTTCACAGTCCTCCCGTTGTTCATCTATTTGCTTGAGCAATCCCAGTAACGTCTCCATCGTGAGACTTGTCGTTACTGTGTTTGGCATATTGAATGCGTCATGGGTAGCTTACCAGGCTTTGCCGTGCGGGCGAAATACTCTCGGTAGCTTGCGAGGCTCTCTGAGAGGGGCGGAGGAATCGAACCCAGCTCGGCTGGCTGACTGCGCACAAGGCAAACGCCCTATCGCTGAAATATTTCTATTTGATTTTCAGAGCTCACAAAAATATTGACTATTAGGAGAGTCATGCTTTGGAATCATAAAGAAGTCGCTCCCCTCTATATTCTACCTTGGAGATTTATGTATTTATTTGTATCAATACATATGCTCTTTCGATATGAGTCCTTATAGCTTAGAGAACATAATTTCTGTTCACTGAGTAATTCCTCACCACCTTGTTCAGTATTAATTTCCCAGTTCCCTGGTATTGTTGAGCAATCAGTGTTCTGGGACACCTAATACCCTGTGAAATCGTGGCTGAGACACATGTGTAGTTCAAATCCTTACCTTCCTTTATAATTGCATCAAAGAAACCATAAATATTCCTACAGGGCAGGTCTACTTGTTTATTATAAATAGAGTAAGGTAACCAGGAGACTTTGAATGGGGATGTATAATGCATTTTAAGTTTGTAGATTTAGAGGAGTCAGACGAAAGAAAAATACTGATCTGAATAAACAGATGCCTGACAACATGGGAGATGTAGGAAAAGGTACCATGATGTTCTTTCAAAAATCTGCTGAAAGGGACTAGAGAGATAGTACAGCAGATAGGGCCTGTACACACCTGACCTAGATTCGATCTTCAGCATCCCATACGGTTCTAGGAATACTACCAGGGATAGTTCCTGATTACAGAGCTAGGATTAACGCTTGAACATCGCCAGGTATGACGTAAGCCCCCCCCCCAAAACAAAAATCTGCTGAAGGGTCAGAGAGATAATACAGATGTTAAGGGATTTACCTAGTACATGGCTATTAGTATGACCCTAATTTGAATCCTAGCACTGCATATGGTCCCCCGAGCACCACCAGACATGCCCTTGAGCACAGAGCCAGGAATAGCCTTTGAGCACCACTGTGGCAAAAGCAATATACATAGTATTGTCTGAATAAGAAAACTTCAAATAATGAAAATACTAAAATATCCATATTCTTTGGCTATTTATGTCCACATCTCAGACTCTAGTATAAGTAAACACAGCCAAACACATCGATCTTCCATATCCACACGATAACCAAGCTCATTGAGGTTTCTCGGGAGTTCAAGATATGTTCATTGATTTTAAAAAAGGGCTTTAATTCTGTTGAGACGGACGCAGTCATTGAAGCCATAGCCAAACAGGGCGTTCAAACTCAATACATAAGGATCCTCCGTGATTTTATTACGGATTCACTACCAGGATCTCATCATTCCACAAGGAGGTGATCATCCATGTCAAGAGAGGAGTTCGGCAGGGTGATACAGTTTCACCAAAACTCTTCAGTGCCACCCTCAAGAACATCATGTGACGACTGGAATGGGAAGGAATGGGAGTGAAGATAGACAGTCGGCAACTACACCACCTCCACTTGGCTGATGACATTGTTCTAATAACACCAAACATTAGCCAAGTGGCACAAATGCTGACCGACTTTGACCATAAGTGTGGAAAGGTCGCACTACAGCTGAATCTCACGGAGACAATGTTTATGAGAAACGGTCTCATTCCTGACGTTCCATTTGCTCTCAGTGGAATGAACATCTCCAAGTGTAACAGTAATGTGTACCTTGGTCGAGAAGTCAACATGACAAATGACCTGGCACCTCAGTTGCGCAGGAGAAAGAGATGGGCTTGGAACGCCTTCAAGAGTGTCGAAGAAATAGCGAAGAGGACAAAGAACCTCCGACTCCGGGCACATCTCTTCGATTCCACTGTTCTTCCTGCATTAACATATGCCTCAGAGACCTGGGCCCTAGGAAAACAGGATGAGAATGCTATTCGGGTCTCCCAAAGAGGAATTGAAAGAGCTATGCTTGGAGTATCACGCTTCACTCAAATGAGAGAGAGAATCCGGAGTTCGACCTCTGTCGACGTTCAAGAATCAGGGACATTGTCTCCTTTGCCAAGGCGTCGAAAATCAGATGGGCTGGACACGTAATGAGATTTGGAGACAACCGCAGGACTAGAGCCATTACCGACTGGATTCCACAGGACACCAAAAGATCGTGTGGCAGCCCACCTACGAGATGGTCAGACTTCTTCGTCAAGACCCTGAATGATCAGTTTGAGGCTATTTGTGTTCCAAGAACGAGCAGATGCCATTGGGCTATACTAGCACACGACAGGAACGAATGGAGACATTACTGGCACCTGCTCGAGCAAATCGATGAGTAACTGGATGTCAAGTGATCAAATGATTCAAAAAGCTCTTCTATCTGAAAGTTGTGATGAGGAAGTATAAATTGCCATAATATATAATTGAGGTGTGGTTAAATTATGGGACTGTCACTCAGTGAAATATGCATACATTAAATGATTATAAAACTAGTTTTATAACTGAGGAAAGGGCATTTGGAGTTAATGGACTCTAGAAAGTCATCTAAGCAGCATGGCTTGAGAACCTCTTCAGTTACTAAAAGGGGTTTACCAATGAAATTCTGATGTGCATAAAAATTCCACTTAACATGACATCCTCCAGGTCCATCTAAGTTGCAGCAAACAGCAGGATTTCATCTCTTTTTAAAGCTGCATAGTATTCCATTGTGCATTTTATGTCCGAAGAAGAACAACAGATCATCTCACTTATTTGTGGTACATCGGATATTAGTACTATGGGATGGAGACATAATACAGTGGGTAACACATTTGCCTTGCACATTGTTGACCTGGGTTTGATCACCGGCATCCCATATGGTCCCCTGAGTACCGCCAGGAATGATTCCTGAGTTCAGATTCCTTGAACACTGCTGGATATGACCCCAAAAGAAACAAACAAGAATAACAGCATAAGGGAAGCAAAATACCTAGATTACCCTTGATCCTAGAGCATAGAGAGGAGAAGGGGAAAAAATCAAGAGATAGGGTAAGAAGAGGCAGAAAAAAGGGTTGGGTCCTGGGCACATCAGTGCTACAGAGGTGTTCTATATCTGTATATAGGACAACAACAGCGACCAACACTGAAAACAGGAGATACAAACTACAATGAGAATTAAAGATGTGGCTGTGAAGGAGGCAGGCTGGGATAGAGGAGGGCACCCGGGACACTGATGCAGGAAGTTGACATGGGTGGTAAGATTGGTGCCTGAAACTCAACTATGAGTATCTATATAAATCATGGTGCCTTAATGAAAAATTAAAATAAATTAAAAACCAATTGTAATTGAACCAAAATTAACACATAAGGTCATAAAAATTTTGATAGAATAAATGGGATGGATGGGTCAGAGCAATAGCACATCGGGTAGGGTGTTTGCCTTGTGCTTGGCCGACCCGGATTCAATCCCTGGCATCACATGATCCCCAAGCACCGCCACTAGTAATTCCATAGTGCAGAGCCAGGAGTAATCCCTGAGCATCTCTGGGTGTGACCCAAAAAGAAAAAAAAGAATAAATGGGATGTTGCTTATATGAACACAGAATGAGGGAGTAGTTCCCAATACTGCCAGGTGTATCTCCAAAACAAAAAGATAACAAAACATTTTTAAGCATAAAACTAATGACAGGAATCATGTAAGAACAAACACTAAAAACACTATTCTCCCGTTGCTCATCGATTTGTTCGAGCGGGCCCAGTAACGTCTCCATTTTTTTGAGACTTGTTACTGTGTTTGGCATATTGAATACATCACAGGTAGCTTTCCAGGCTTTGCCGTGTGGGCGAGATACTCTCAGTAGCTTGCCGGGCTCTCCGAGAGGGTCAGAGGAATCGAACCTGGCTTGGCCAGGCTGGTTGCACGCAAGGCAAACACCCTACCGCAGTGCTACATGAATAGATTTGACTAAGAATTTTTTTTTTTTGCTTTTTGGGTCACACCTGGCGATGCTCAGGGGTTACTCCTGACTCTACACTCAGGAATTACTCCTGGTGGTACTCAGTGGACCATATGGGATGCTGGGAATCAAACCCGGGTCGGCCGCGTGCAAAGCAAATGCCCTACCCACTGTGCTATTGCTCCAACCCCCGCTCCAGTCACTTGACTAAGAATTTTTTTTTTAATTAAAAAATATTTTGTTATCTTTTTGTTTTGGAGATACACCTGGCAGTATTGGGAACTACTCCTAGCTCAGTTCTCAGGGGTTGCTCATGGCAGTGCTCAGAAGAATTTGCAGTGCCAAGATTGATACTGCACCTCCTGCATGCAAAGCACATTCAAAACCTTTTGAATTAGTGAGAATTTTTATATGTCAAAAAGTTAAAAGGCAGAAAAACTGGGAAACAGATCTGTGTTATCTGTTACAGAAGCTGATAATTGACAATTTGAAGTGATAGATCAATAACAAAGGATGAATCTCTAGGAGAAAGTAGAGTCAAGGCTTGAACAGACTGTTTACAAAAGACCTGTCAGCGGTCAAAAAGACCTGTCAGCAGTCAAAAATGGGGAAAAGTTCAACTGTAATAATGGTCATAAATACATAAATCAAACAGTGATGTGCTTATTATTTCTTTCAAATTGCCGATCCTGTGATAATGGAAGGGTTTGACTTCGGAAAGCAATTTGCTATATATCAGAATTCTTAAATTTTCGGAATAACCTGTGTTTCTTTCTCTGTGAGGCATGCTGTTAAACACTGGACAAGGATTGTCTCATAATTCTCAAAATTAACCCATTTATGTCGATGTGGCTATCATAAGAGCAGAAACCTTTAAAACAAATGCTGGGAGCTGGAGAGATAGCACAGCGGGTAGGGCGTTTGCCTTGCACGCAGCTAACCCAGGTTCTATTCCCAGCATCCCATATGGTTCCCTGAGCAATGCCAGGAGTAACTCCTGAGTGCAGAGCCAGGAGTAACCCCTGTGCATCGCCAGGTGTGACCCAAAAAGCAAAAAAAAAAATGCTGGGCAATCTTTTCTACAAGTCGACAAACCATGCTAACCCAGGAGAGCCAGAGCAAAAGTCCAGGGGGCAGGGTACTTGCCTTGCTTACAGCCAACCCAGGTTTCATGCATACTGCCAACCCAGGTTTGACACCCCCCCAGCAACCCATATGGTCTCCCAAACCTGTCAGGAGTGATTCCTGAGTACAGAACCAGGAGTAAGCCCTGAACACCACTGGGTGTAGCTCAGAAATAAAACAACAACCAAAAAACCCATGCTGAACCAGGAAAGAGTAATGGGAAAATGTGATACTATTAAGTGAAAGGTTTCAAAACTATAACTAATGAATGTATGAAAAGTCTAGAAGGAAAAATGCTTCATGTGGTTGCTCTGTGTTTTGGGGGCAGGATTATAGGCTTCTGGTTTTCTTTTGAGTTTTCCAATCTTCCTGCTTTAGACATGTTTTATAATTAATATAGTAATGAGAGGAGCCAGGGAGGATCACATATTTGCATATAAGAAACCAGGATTCAGTCCCTGGTACCCCTCCAGTCACCTGCACACTGCCTGCTATGACCCACAAAAAGAAATAGAAACAATAACTAGAGAAAGAATGAATTTCCTCCAGGATATCTTTAGCATCCGAACTCCTGGCCTAGGAGAAATAGTTCAGTGTGTAAACGCTGTTACTGAAGCCTGGTGGATCCCACTGGGCCCAATTAATTGAATCTTGCCTTAACAGGTAATGCAGCTTGGTAGGGGTTATCTTCTGAAAAGATTCTTGGGTATCTGAATACAAATCTTACCAGGTAGCCTTTAGCATAGCAAACTTTCCTAGGACAACTCCCACTTGTTTATATGCCTTACTTTAGGCATTAAATTTCACTTCTAATATATGTATCACTTGAGTACTATTTTCGTGATCAGTCGGTCAGCTGGACAAAATGCTGGAAGAGGCAAACTGGAGTACATGGTGTTTCCACACCAGTAAAGCACCTTATACTACCTTTAATTACCAATTCTCCTATAATTTGAAAATATTAAAATGAAACTCATTGCTGGGCAGGGCAGGGGATATCCTGTATTACTGAGCAAAAGTATTTGGAACCTTGCAAAAACAATTCAGAGGAAGGAATATTTGTAATGAGAGTTCCCGAATGAGCCTTCCAGCCCCTGTGAGGTGATCTGCCGCTGACTCCTTCCTTCACTGTTACTCCACATTCCCTGGCACTTTGCCAGGCTCCTTAAGGCTGCTTTCCCATGGTGAAGATTGCAGGAAGCTCAAAAGCTCGACTTTTTATCCTGATGTTTCATGCTCTCATTAGGCTAACTCAAAACTGCCTTGTTTTTGAAAATTGGTGTTTTTACTTTGTGATAGAAATGGAAAAAAAAAACCATCACTGCTCATAGTAGTTTTAATGTGTATTTTGCTTGGAGACTTAAACTTTAATTCGGAATGAATATCACTGTCTCTTGGAGCTCAACTGCATATTTCTCATTTTATCACCATTCAGGTTCCTGGTATAAATTTACCTGTCAACCAACTGACCTATTTCTTTGCTGCAGTCCTCATTAGCGGTGTTGTACATGAAATCGGACATGGAATAGCAGCTATTAGGTAATAATGATCGTTTCCCTTCTCTTTCTGCTACATGTAAAGAGACTTTCCATTTAGAACTTAGTACTACATTGGATACTTTTTCTTACTGTGGCTATTACCTGGTACATATCCACCATTGCTTGATGAACCTTCTCTTTTACACAGGGATTAATACAGTGATGAATCTGATTAACTACTTAGTTATAATCTGGGTCTTTCTGAACTTTGCTTTTACCAGCATGATTATATCTTCATAATGCCTCATGTTTTTTTTGTTTGTTTTGTTTAGAGCTGTTTGTGGGGTAATAGCCGGCAGTGGCCAGGGCTTAGTCCTAGCTCTATAGTCAGGGATCACTCCTGGTGGGGCTCCGGATACCGTAGGTGGTGCTGGGTATTGAACCTGGGTCAGCTGCTTGCAAAGCAAGGGCCCCACCTGCTCTACAGTCTCTCTGACTAGCTTCATGATTTGAGAGGGGGGTACGGCAGGCTTTAGGATTATATATGGTGATGCTCAGGAATCACTCCTGGCAGTGCTCAGAGAATCATATGGATTGCTGGGGAATCAAACCTGGGTCAGCTGCATGCAAGACAAGCATCTTACCTGCTGTACTATTGTTCTGGCCCTGCTACAAGATTTTTATCCAGTCTTGAAACCGTCGCGTGAGAATGGTAACTCCTGCACTCAGAGCCCATCAATCTGCTACTTTCTCATTACTTCCATTGCCTTGTCACTGGAATGTTTTCCCACTGGAAAGTCCCAGTTCATGGTCTCTGCTGGCTACAGGAAGAACTCTGAAAGTTCGGGGTTTGTTAACAAATACCAGAGCCGACTAGAAATTCAAGTGGAAGAAGTTAAGGAAGGAGGGTAAAAACTGGTACTTGCTTCAAGTATCATACTTCGTTCTTTTGCGTACCCAAAAGTAAATTAATTATATCTGAGCATCCCAAAGGCACCTAAGCTTATCCAATCATGATGGAGAGTGACTTCTCACAGTCACTGATAATTACTGCTGCAGTGAATACACATACCAAGAGGAATGCATTTTATCCTTTGGTGGGTGAATTAAATAAAAGGTTTTAGAAGGTGGTGGGGCAGAGTGATCATACAGTGGGTAGGGTGTTTGCCTTGCACACGACTGGGCCGGGTTCATTCTCTGGCATCTGAGCCCCACCAAGAGTGATCCCTGAATGCACAGCCAGGAGTAAGCCCTCGGCACTGCTGGGTGTGACCCCAAAACAAAGAGCTTTTTAGAGAAGAAAATGTAATGACTTCTTAATACTGTCTACTTATGAGAATGATCCTATTGACTGGCAGTAGACCTACATCCTGATAGAGCATGTGCTGTCACACATGTTAGCAGTGGCTTTTTTAGTCTCTTCCATGTTTTTGGTATTATAGCCTTTTACAGTTAAAAATAGTGGTATTTGCAGTTTAATAACTCACAATATGTTTATAGTCAGCTATTCAAATATATAGTTCTAAGTTATAGCATAATTGGGTCATCTATATTTTGAATAGCTATTTGCAATTATGAAATGTGATTCCTATTTTAGAAAATGAATTGATAAAAAATAGTCCCAGGGAGCTGCAAGGGCCAAAGCCCTGGCCTCATAGCCTTGAGTTCAATTCCCAGCATTGCATGTGTGTGTCCCCCCCCCCCCCCGCCAAGAACTGCCAGGAGGAGCCCCTGAGCATCATGTTAAGAGGAACTCCATAGCACTGACTGATGTGGCACAATAAACAAAAATAAACAAAAAATAGGTCAGAGCATTATGCATTTTTAAACATTTATTTTAATATTCAACAGGAATGTACTTAGAGCTCAAACTTTATAGTACCTAAACCAGATATAGTTAATCTGATTGAAATACTTATTTTTTCTTTTTTGATTTTGGGTCACAATCGTTGGTACTCGGGACTTACTCCTGGCTCTGGGCTCAGGGAGCACACCTGGCGGTGCTCAGTGCACCATTTGATGTACCAGAATTGAACCCATGTCAGCTGCGTGCAGGGAAAGAGCCCTACCCACTGTACCATTGCTCTGACCCCTGAAATACATTTTCTACAGTGTCCTTCTGAAAATAATTCAGAATGAAAATCTGAACATTCGCTCTATCATGGAAATATTACCTCTTTTTTGTTTTGTTTTGGGGCTGCACCAGGAAGTACTCAGGGCTTACTCCTCGCTCTGCCCTCAGGGATCATGCCTGGTGGTACTTGGGGAACCATAACCTGGGTTGGCAGCATGCAAGGCAAGAACCATATTGGTTGTACTATCGCTACAGCCCCTTAACCCTTTCTTTATAAATGAGACTGATTTTAAGCCTCTCAGCTTATTTACTTCTAAATATTTCTAAGTTGTAAATTTGTTTCAGAATACTCTGTTTTTACAAAACTCAGTTTCCCATATAAACAAATTGGTACACTTGTAAAGTTATGGAATATATATATACACACACATATATATATATATATATCACTGTCACTGTCCTCCTGTTGTTCATTGATTTGCTCGAGCGGGCCCAGTAACATCTCCATTGTGACACTTGTTACTGTGTTTGGCATATCGAATACGTCACAGGTAGCTTGCCAGGCTTTGCCGTGGGGGCGAGATACTCTCAGTAGCTTGCCGGGCTCCCTGAGAGAGGCGGAGGAATTGAACTCGGGTCAGCCATGTTGGTCGCATGCAAGGCAAACACCCTACCCGCTGTGCTATTGCTCCAGCCCATATATTTACTTTTGATATGTGTGTGTATGTATATATATCAAACATATAGGTATGATTTTCTGGGGCCAGAGCAATAGTACAGCAGGTAGGGCATTTGCTTTGCATGTGCGCGACCCAGGTTCGATCCTTGGCATCCCATATGGTCAGCCGAGCACCACCAGGAGTAGTTTCTGAGTGCAGAGCCTTAGTAACCTCTGAGCATCTCCGGTGTGACCCAAAAAAGCAAAAATCAAAAAAAAAAAACACATAGGTATGATTTTCTGTATAGGGACAATTGTTTTTGTAGTGCTCAGGGACTACTCTCAAAAAAAGCATGCCCTCTTCCTGTTTAGCTATCTCTCCAGACCCCAAAGAGACTTCATTTGTAAGCTGTAACTTGACTTACAGTTCAAAGTTTTAAGATTGTATACATTATTAATTTGACAAAAGTAATGCTAGTAGTAAATTGCTTTTTCTTAATGTCATATCATAGGGAACAAGTTCGCTTTAATGGCTTTGGAATTTTTCTCTTCATCATTTATCCGGGAGCATTCGTTGATCTATTCACCACTCATTTGCAACTTATATCACCAGTCCAGCAACTAAGGATATTTTGTGCAGGTAATACTTAAATTTCTTTTTTCATCTGCATTGTTAGTGGTTTTATGGAAAGTATATTGCAAATGAAAACAGCTTATCTTCCGATCAATGTATTTGGTAATACTATAAGGTGGTAGTAGTAGTAGTCTATCAGGGGAAAGAGGAATGGGCAGAGGAGGAAAATTCAATAGTATGATGGCACAAAAAATGGTGGTGGATGGGTGGGTGAAATACCTTTATGTATAATATACCCAATATTACTTATATAGTATTATAATCAATGTTAAGTAATTATAATTTTATTTATTACAAAGTTGGACAAAAGCAATTTACATTGTTTTCATTATTAACAGTGCCAATTAATATGAAAAAAGTAGAAAACTTCACTTTCATTGAAGCTAGGAATGACCAGTCTATAACCACGAATTATAAAAATAGCTCAGATGAAACACAGTGGAATATATTAAATCACTAGACAACATAAAGAACCAAAAAAAAAGAATTTAGAACTAGGGAAGAAATGATATGCAAGTTTACATGGTACACTTTAACACTGTCAGTGTTCAGTAAAAAACAGAACCACCAGGAATATGCAGTATAGGAAGAAATTCTGGACAAGAGCTTCACTTGAGCTAAGCTTCATTTGACACAAGACAGATCCACCACAACCCTGTACCTCTTTAAATGGAATAACAGTAATAAAGTATGGCATTAGAAATCTTAGACATGGTAAAAGTAAACAGTTAAAAGAAAGTGTAAGGAGTAATTTCTTCAACTTTGTAGTATCAAGAAAAAGTCTGCTTAAATTTGGTGAATCAAGAAACAGGTTTGAGCTGGAGTTATAGTACAGCAGGTAGGGTATTTGCCTTGCACACAGCTAACCCGAGTTCGATCTCCAGCATCCCATATGGTCCCCAAGCACCGCCAGGAGTAATTCCTTGAGTGTAGAGCCAGGAGTAATCCCTGAGCATCTCCGGGAGTAACCCAAAAAGCGAAAAAAAAAAAAGGTTTGAGTGAATTAAGATTCTAACTGTAGAGGCCTAGGAGTGTCCTGAGCAAGAGAGAGACTGTCAGTTCAATCACTGGCAATGCCCCACAGGCAGACTACAATTCCAGTAGCACCTTTGTTGAAATTTCCAACACCACAACAAAAAGTGTGTAATCCTCACAACCAACTGTGTGATCCTCAAGTCATTGCAACAGCAAAGGAAAGTGGAAATATAAAGAGTAAGTAAATGAACAGAATAAGACAACATAAAAACTTCTGTGTATGTATAAATGCTATAACATCTTAAAACACACATGATAAACATTTCAAGTTATAGGGGAGGGCGGGGTGCAAAAATAAACCTTTCACATTATAAAAGTGAAATTATGAAATGTAGACCAAAGAAAACACCAGGACCAGAGAGAGAGCTTAGCAGCCTGGAAGTACGTGCTTTGCAGCTTTGCGTATAGGAGGCAAGGCTCAATACCCATCATGGCCTCGTCCTGTGACCATGGGCCAGGGGTGACCACTCAGCACCAAGCCTGGAGAAGCACATGAGTACCACCTGGTGTGGCAAAGAAAAAACGACAGCAAAGAAAATATCAAAAAGGAGGCAGAGCTATAGCAAAGCAGGGAAGTTACTTGCCTCGCATACGGCCAACCCGGGGTTGATTGCCAGTATCCCATATGGTCCCCAGAGCACGGCCAGGAGTAATTCCTGAAAGAAGTGCCAGGCATAACCCCTGAATATCACCAGGTGTGGCCCCAAAACCTAGATAGGTAGATAAAGTAGAGAACAATATATACTTGTTTTATCAATGACTGAGACAAGATCACCTATTAAAATTCAAATATGCATTTTTTAATTAAAAACATATCCCAGGCCCAGAGAGGTAGTTCAGGATTAAGACACTTTTTCAGGAAGCCAGCCATACTTCAAATCCCTGGCCCCACACATTGACCGTTAAGCACTGCCAGGGGTCACTTCTGAGCACAGTGCCAAGAAATGCCCCTGAGCTCTATCAGGCGTGGTGCAAAAACCAAACAAAAACTTAACCCAAATTTATTATGTATAAACAGTATCATCTGAGACTCTTCCTTTGTTTGATTTATTTTGGTCGGCTTTTCCACAAGCTTTACTAATTATTTATATAGTTTATTATGCTCCATAGCACTGTAGCACTGTCCTCCCATTGTTCATCGATTTGCTTGAGCGGGCACCAGTAACGTCTCACAACAAATTGTGAGACTTGTTGCTACTGTTTTTGACATATCGAATATGGCCATGGGGAGCTTGTCAGGCTCTGCCGTGTGGGCGGGGATACTCTCCGTAACTTGCTGGGCTCTCTGAGAGGGATGGAGGAATCGAATCCGGGTCAGCCACGTGCAAGGCAAACGCCCTACCCGCTGTGCTATTGCTCCAGCCCGTTATGTTCTATAAACTTATTAATTACCAAAACAGTCGAGAAAAAAGAAGATGGGAGATATGCATGTCCTCACTTCAAATTATACTTTAATGCTATAGTCATCAAAACCAGTGGAATAGAATTGAAAGCCCAGAGATTAAACTCTCAGATTTGTGGAGAATTAATCTATGAAAAAGGAGCAGGGTGCCTGAAGTGGAGCAAGGAAGCCTATCAGCAAATATTGTTTGGCAAAACACATAGCCACTTGTAAAAAAAATGAAACTGGAACCTTATCTCACACCATTCACAAAAGTAAACTCAAGCGGATTAAAGACATTGAGATAAGAAGAAAACACAGACAAAACTCTCCAGTATATGGACCTCAGAGATTTCCTCAGTGATTTAATCCACTGGCAAAGATAACAGAAACAAAAATAAATGAAACTATACAAAATTTGAAGACTTTCATGTGGCAGAGAAAGTTCTACTAAAGTAAAAAGACACCCTGCTGAATGTGAGAAAATATTTACACACAATACATCAAACAAAAAAGGACTGATGTCCTATATATTTATATATATGTATGTGTGTGTATATATATGTATAAAAAACATTCACAAAGCTCAACAACAAAATAATCCTATCAAAAAGTGGTATGAAGAGATGCAGAGCTTCTCCGAACGAGATATCTGAATTAGGTTAGTAGGCATGTGCAAAAAGTCTTCATCCTCTTATTATCAGGGAAATGCAAATCAAAGCAACAATGGGACCAATAAGATAGTACAGCAGAATGACTTGTCTTGAATGCAATGAACCCACATTTGATCCCCAGCACAACATATGGTACCCCACACACATATTGCTAGGAGCGATCCCTGAGTACCATCAGGTGTAGCCTAGAAAAAAAAGATACAACAACAACAAATAAGAATGAGGATGGCATAAAAGACTGGAAACACTTGGTGTTGGCAAGGATACAGTGAGAAAGGAATCCTCATCTGCTCTATTAATGTTGTCTGGTGCAGTCTCTGAAACAGTATAGAGAGTCCAGAAAAAAGATAATAAATGGAGTGCCATATGACTCAGCAACTTCATTTCTTGGCGCCTAGCCCCCAAATACACAAATGTTCATTTGAAAATAGAGATGTATACATACAAACATTGTGGTGCTTATTACAATAGCCAGGACATGGAAACAACCCAAATGTCCAAAGAAAGATAAAGAAGGATAAACAAAGAATAAACAAAGAATAAAGTTGTGGCATATGTGCACAGTGAAATATTATGCAGCCATAAGAAGAATAAATATAAAGAAGGATAAAGGAAGATAAATAAAGAATAACTAACAAAGGATAAATAAAAATAAAGGATGGAGTAGTGGCATAAGTGGCAGAAGTTGTGACATATGTGCACAGTGAAATACTATGCAGCCATAAGAAAAGATGAAATCCTGTACTTTGCCACAATATGAATGGAACTGGAATGTAACAAGTTAATGAAAATTAAGTCAGAGGGAGAAGGACAAATACCAAATGCTCTCACTTATGTGGTATTTAGAATATGGAACAAGCAGTGGGGAAAAAAGATCTAACCAGAGGTGACATAGGGAAAGTGGTGGAGAATCATGGAGATATAGCACTCAGGTGGTGGTGGGGTACAGTAATTCTGTACATCAATATCATAAACTTTATCACAATTATAACCATATTACCTAAACTGTTACTGTCACTGTCCTCCCGTTGTTCATCAATTTGCCCAAGCGGGCCCAGTAATGTCTCTGTTGTGAGACTTATTGTTGCTGTGTTTGGCATATCGAATACGTCATGGGTAGCTTGCCAGGCTTTGCGGTGTGGGCAAGATACTCTCGGTAGCTTGCCGGGCTCTCTGAGAGGGGCAGAAGAATTGAACCCGGATCAGTCGGGTCGGCTGCGTGCAAGGCAAACGCCCTACCACTGTGCTATCGCCCCAGCCCACCTAAACTAATGTAAAAACATTTAAGGATATTCATCTAAAAACTTAAAAAGATTGAAAATAAGAGCTGGGTCCATAGCTCAGCAGCAAAGTGTATCCTTTAGTGCATGAGACCTGGGTTTGATCCCCAACACCGCAAAACACTATTAAGAAATGAAAGTAAAATTAGCGGAACGGGGCAGTAGCGTTTATACAGTGGGTAGTGCACTTGCATTGCACATGACATATCCGGGTTCAATCACGGGCACCCCACATGATCCCCAGAGCACTACCATACGGGGCCCCATGCAATGGTGCTCAGAGGCTATTTCCAGCTACAACTAACTCTGCTCGGTTGCTCTGGTGGTGCTCTAAGGGGCACAGGATCAAACACAGGCGTCCTGTATGCAAAGTATGTGCTCAGCCCATTAAGCTGTCATTATAGAGTTCTTTGAAGAAAAAAAATGATTACAAAGCCAAAGAGATAGTACAAGAGTTTCGGCGTTTGCCTAGTATGCAATTGAACCGACAGATCTTGGCACTGCAGGGTGTGGATCAAAAATCTTGAAAGAAAAAAATGTCTATAGACAGCAATAGCAGTCATATTGGGGACTGACAAAAATGTACTTTGGGGGGCTGGAGCAATAGCACAGCGGGTAGGGCGTTTGCCTTGCACA